CGTACAAAATATCTAAAATATTTTATAAGGATAAAATCTCATTGAAATTATCATTTGCTAATTAATCTACATTTCTTAATTACTAAAGTGCAGATATTATATTGATTAATACTGAAAAACGAATTCATTTACTTAAAACTTTTACTGTATTGATACTCTTTCTGATTATCTCCTTTTTAGTGATACTTATGTCAAAGTTCAAGAGAATTCCGATATCATCTGGAAATCACAACGATATACTTTGATCACAGAATTTGTAAAAAAACCTTCTTTGCCAGCACCATTCATAATAATAGCACATTTTTATCGACTATTAAAATATGCTTGGGCTAAATATAGCCACCGCCATAAGGAACAATTGGATGATAATACAAGTAAGTTCACCTATTACTCCTACCTTCTCATTTACTATTGCGTCGTAATTCTGCTTACGTAGTCATATCATAAAAATTTGATTCTTCTTTTTTAGCTACTATCCAAATATCAAGAAAAAATATTAATATACCAAAATTGGAAGCATGGGAAAACTGGATGGCATTTACTTACTGGCGGAAATTCGAGGTACGCGATAGAGGGAAAATCTCTTAAAAATTCCGACAACTATACGAGTACAATGGTATAACCGATATCGTCAAAATTTAACGTTAATGAAACTCTTAAAGATATAACAAATGATTGATATTCCTTATAAGTATTTGTTTTATTTCCTTGGCTAGTAATTTAAAGTCTTTGCCAATTACTTAGTATTTTTAAGTTAAGATATTAACGAATTGCTTAAATCAAACTGCAACTAGTTATTTAAGTATTACTCGTATGTTACATAATCTGATTAGAATCCTTCAGAGTCAGTTATCTGCCGTAGTAATGGGTTTTAACCATATACATATAACTGTAGCTATCAAGATAATATTTTATGAAGTCGTTAAATATCCCAAATTTCCGTCTTATATCATATACGAATGGCGAGTATCGTAATTATTGCTTTGTACTATAAGGTTGATGCTTATTCATGTGGTATATTTGAATAATTTTTATCCTCTTATCACAACCTTACTATGCTATGCAAGTAAGTTAGCATTACATATAGATTATTAGTTCAGCTTTAATTACACATTTTGCTAACATGGGAATTGAATATTTCTGATTTAAAAGCTGTCAGGTGTGTACGCATCTAGCATATCGCTAAGTGATTAC